GTTTCGAGTTACATAGACCATGAAGTCAGAAACCAAATCTCTATCAAAATCGTAAGATTATTCACAGTCACAGTCGTTATCAAGATATTCAAAGAATAATTTTTTTTAAAGCTTGACATGAAGTGAAACTCAAAATCTTTTGTCAGACTCAAAACTAGGTACTGAGCAGATATAACTTTGTAATTCTGAAGTAGCTACTGGTCTGCGATGAGGTCACAAGTTGAAATCCTGGTTGACTAAGTCTAAGGCCTTTTACACAAATTTTCTTCATTTTACCCTATTGAGAATGTAAGGTAAAAGCAATTGAAGATTTTGTCACTGTCAGTATTGTCTTTGATTTAGTCATATTTTACGGCACTTGCAACACAATCAGGTCATTTAAGTGCTAAAGATTCGAGGTGTAACAAGAAAGTAACATACACAACAACAGGAGGAGAAATAAGGACAATAGACGTACGCCAGAAAAGAACAAGCAAACCACACCAGAGCACCTGCTAACTACCCACTATCGTATATTGTATTCGAGTGCCTGTAAGAGTACTAATACAGATAGACTAGATGCCGATAGAGGCTACATGTACTTTTTTACAGGGACATTTCGAGTAATCTATTATCATTAGTAGCAGTACTAAACAAGTGTAAAGTAAAATACGAACACAGCATAGACTTCAGTCCAGAATAAAAACAAAAATCAGCATTGAGGACATAATATGATGAAGAAAAATCCTTGCAATTTTCTGGTGATCTTTATTGCAAACCCATACTGTCCAGACGGGAGAAGAAAACAATTAGAAATAAAACACAATTAATATGAAAACAAAACACTTCAACAAAACAAAAACCCATTCAAGTAACTGAAATAAGGGCTTCATGATATGCGAAAAATAAAATATATCAGTTCAAGTTCAAGTTCAACAAACAATTTAGAAATAAGGCTTTTAGCTTTATTGTAATACTTGATAATAATGTGATACAATAACGAGTTTGCAGTCTCCTTGGTTTCGTCTGAGGACATTCTCTTTCAATTCTGTCTTCAGTCTGTTCTGGTCTACAGAAAATGATCTACAAGGCAGACAACTACATAGCAGTAGATGCCACTAACCTTTTTTTAAATACCACTGCATACAATACACAGTTTACGACAATATTCAAAAACAATGCCAGTGGATTAATTAAGCACATATCTTAAACCTAAAGAAAAAAAAGACAGTACTCTTTAAATGCAAAAAAGACTACCTTGGCACGGGTACCAGCCCCATTTTCTCAAGAGTCTCACTAAGCACTAAGCTCAGACTTGCATGGACTATTAGTATTACCTACCTGATCAATAAAATTGAGATGCAAATTAAAGCCTTAATCAACTCAAACTAAGACTACACCAAAATGAAGAAGAATAAAAGAGGGAAGATCTAAAAAACGCAAACCAACCCCCCCAGATTCTGCAAAGGTAAAGAAATCTTCCAGGCCACCAGAGAAAGGGTTTTATATGAAAGTGTGTGTGTGGGGGGGGGGGGGGGGGGGGAAGAGATAATAATTATCACAATGACGACTAGGTCCAACTGGGTGAATGTTGTGGCGTTTTTACAGACAATTTCACCAACTGTCACCACCCCAGGAGGCTCTCAAGCCTTAGAAGCAAGTATATTTATAAGCACGTTCAAGATGATGTTTTTCTTCCCCTTTGAACATACAAGAAAGAGCTCAACATTGAAGGAGTAATGACTTGTTTAAGTCATTTCCAGACAAGGTTGAGGTGGCCAATTTGAGTGGCTGTTTCATCCTGGTGGGAATAATACGGCCAGCTGACTAGTGCTTCCGTCTTGAAATACTGAGTCAATAACATGCCTACACGTTCTTCTGGCAGAACATGTTCATACAATGTCTTTACTAAATATATGTTCAAGTTTTATAGAAGTAAAAAGTACAATTGAAATAGTGACAAAAATTAGAAAAAACCAGTACAATTAAAAAAAGACACTCACATAGGCCAGCATTTCCGAGCATGTTGTGTGAAAAATGGGAGCTTTGGAAATAATATTGTGATGAGAATTTGTTCTTATTTTATTCAAGAATGTGTGTGCCTATGCGAGTGTGTGTGTGTGTGTGTGTGTGTGTGTGTGTGTGTGTGTGTGTGTGTGTGTGTGTGTGCGCATGTCTGTGTCTGCGTGTGTGTCTGTGTGAGTGTGTATGTCTGTGTGTATACAATACATGTGAGTGAACATAGCAGAGTGAATACAAAGGTACTCAAACAATATTATACGAAATATATGCCCCTACTTGTCTCAGGTTCAGTAAACTTTGGTTTGTTTTGATGAGATAATGTAGCCCAATGAGCTTGTGAAATGTTGGTCTGAGCAGGAAGTGACAAAAAAAAGAAAGAAAAAAAAAAGGACTATGTTTGTGGAGGACTAGAGGGGTAAGAGTAACATTAGTAACAACAACTTGGAAACTGTACAATGTATCATGCCTAATCTCTCGTGGTAAACAACAAGAAACAACAGAAATCGTGCAGGATATCCGGCCATAAGAGGAGCATTCCTCGCAACAACACAGAACGCTTCTAGCGCATGTGTGCATCACTTGATCGTACTAAGGTTGTCAGCTTCATCCTGTGTTGCGATGTGACCTCAGTCACAAAGCCCAACCAAGAACCGTTGAGAATAAATCACAGAAAAGGGATTTCAACATACACACCCTATTTACTTGACTGATTCAGACACAACACACATAGGCCTACCACACTTCCTTACCACGAAACACATATCATACTTGACCAACCTATCCACACATGCCCCCCCCCAACCATGTATGATCGATTCAAACACACATCCCATAAAATGAATTACTGTATACACTCGCTTATGAGTGAATTTCTTTTTTAGATGAGGTCCAAAAGTATACTCCCTGAATTATAGAGCTAAAATCGGCCCCAACAAAGGAGAAGTAATGCCCAATACTACTTCTGATTAAATACAAATCTGGATATTAAGCCACATCATGATATCTTGCTTGGATTACCTGCCACTCCAGTCTTAGAGATTAAATCAATTTCAATGCAACAACAAACAATTCTCAAAAGTATAGATGCCTTATATTTCATGCATGACTATTATGTGATGTCATGCATGATGAACCCCTCCATCATGCCAGAAATTCATCCCCATATTATGTGCACAACTTACAAAATTAGGCCAATTTTGGACTCGAAGGTGTACCTTCCATATTATACACAAGGTCATGTTATAAGCGAGTATATACAGTAGTCGTAAAAACACTAGCACGCAAGAGTCCCCTGGCCTTCTCCAGCCTCTTCGGCAACGTGGATAACAGACACTTGCTCCTCAGGCACAGGTGGAAGTGGTAACATCTAAAGAAAAACTAATCACTTCCAAGTGTAAGCTACAAAAGTCTCACAACATCATCACTGTTGAGTGGTCAGCATAGAAGAAATGTAGTAAACATAAAACAAGTAGTCGTGAAAGAAGTAATATTGAGTTTCCAGCTGAAAAGAAAGAAAAATTTATTCTTTTTTGTTGTACACCTTGTTTTCAGGAAATGACAATAAATGTAGCCTACCATTACCAAAACTTTTACTTCCCCTTGACAAAAGGTAGATAATTTACAAGGTGGTCTGCATCAGCCCCAGCTGTCAAAGCCAAACTGGACAAAGTGAAAGGGATACAAAATCCCAGTATACATAAGACACTCAATAGACATTTCCTCTTTGGAATCTCCTCAATCTTTCTGTGTGTTGTGTGAAGAATTGTGTTTTGGCAAGTGTTTTACGGCGCTCACAGCTGCGAAAGGTCATATCAGCACTGGTGAAGAGTTATACTCCAACAGACACCTTCACACAGAAAGTGCAAAAGTTATCAACTCTACATTATCAGCAGAGATGCAACTTTTCTTCTTAAAAGTATACACCAAATATATATAATATAAATATATATGTGAAAAGTTCTAATCTCCAACTAGAAACTCTCTACACTTAAACTTATCCCTTTTTACTCTTTTCAGCTGCACAACATTGGTATGGGAAAAACCACTAGGCAATAAAATACAGGATTAAATGCATGCTGATTATATCAAAGAAAAAATATGCCCTTTGCTTACAAGCCCAGCTTGAAAGCATGGCAGGCAATGTATCAGTAATAACAATCACACGTCAAAAATGCATGAAAGATGTAGAAAACACAAGTCAGACCTCTTACAGCTGTGACTCAAAGTTTGGGAATCAAATGAATTTTAACTGTACAAGACAAAATTCTTGGGTAAGTAATATCACGGACTCACCGACAGAATTTTCAAAATTGAAAAAAAATTCTCAGACACTACTTGTAAACAAGTTTTGGCTTTGAGAAGACAACACTATTTAAGGTTTAAAAAAAAAAGGATATTCAAAACAAAAAGATCACATCTCCTTGTCTCCAGAAAATCACATAAAATCATCGAGAAAAACAATCATCATAGAGGATAGAAGAATTCCAACCAAAAACGCCAGATCACATAAAGATGTATTGCCAGTCTGAGGCAAAAAAGTCAGTGTTAGTTTTAGTTTTAAAAAGTTTTACACAAAAGAGTTATTTGTTATGATGGGTGTGATAAGGAAGTGATGTAAAATAAGGGTGTTAGCCTTCAGTTCTTAAACTCAAAGAAGTAAACAGTAGGTTAATTCACAAAGTGAAGGTAGTTGTTTTTTTCTTGGGTTTTTTTCTGAACGAGATATGAACTATCCAAACAATAAGTAAACAGGCAGTAAAAAGTTTATGTGTTCCTAGGAATTTACAAATCGGGGCGGTTGTGCGTTTTAACGATTGTATAATTGCACGGCAATCTTAAAATTGCCCTGACATTTTAACGATCGTATAATTGTATCATGCTTGTGAGTTCTTCAGTTTCATATATCTTAATTTTAATTTTCACATTTTTACACTTTTGAAAATACATGTGAATGTTCCTTGATGTGAGTAAAAGAAAAAAGATGGAAGTGAATTTTTAAAAAATAATTTCAAAAATACAAAATAAATTAGATGTAAATTCTACTTTGTGAACTTGAGTTTGATACCCAGCATTGTGTTATTCTTGTGGACTCTTCAGTTTCATATTTTAATTTTAATTTTCATATTTTTATACTTTTGAAAATATATGAATAAAGATGGAAGTGAATTTTTTTTTTTTTTTATTATTTCAAAAATATAAAATATGATTGCTGCACAATTATACAATCGTTAAAACGTGCAGCGTGCACTGATCGTTAAATTGTGTGAAACATATGTACTTAATTTCTTAACGTTAGATTCAGAACTGTTAAGTTTACTTTCATAAAGACTCAGAAAGCCAAAAAAAAACAACATAGAAGTATATAACCAGTCATCACTGACTAATGTTGAACAACCAGCTGTTTGAATAAATTGAACAGTTACAAGAATACCAATGAATAGAAACCAAATCTTTTAACATAGCTTGTTTACTCTTTATCTCCGAGGGGGGTAAACCCACAATGCCGGGGCCCTTTTTTGGTACTAAATCTAAAAATGACAAAAACGTCACTAAATAGGTCATTAAATCTAAACTTGCGAACCTATTATGATAGTACTTCATCTAATGAATGAACTTCCGTTGAAAGAAACCTGTTTTCGGCAATTGCCGAAAAGTAATTTGATGTCGAAGTCGTCGAAAAGGAATGTGCCCAAGCCACTGTCAGCGGCTCACCGGCAAAACAGTTCTGACCACGAGCCGCTGGGGGAGATAAAGAGTTAATACATGTACTTGTTTATATGGTAATAAGAGATGAAAAAAATGTTGTTTTCACATTACTAACAATGTGATCACTACTCGCTTATTAGCTCGGCTAAAAATATGGCCACTCCCATACGGGCATATATGTGATGAGTGTAAACAGTGTTAAATATGTGGAAAACTAGACCTATTATTTCATTTACAATTTTGTTACCATGCATACACTGCTTGCACAGTATTGGGTCAACTCACCCTTTTAGGCAATCTAAAAATATTCATACCATATATCTATACACTGCCTTTTAAAAATGTGTCTTACTAGATTAATAAATGTCTTCTAAAATTATTGCCAGTGAATAGTACATCAACAACTAAATCCATTTGTCAACCAAACTTTATAAAAACAAAGTACTGAGAGGCACAGACAAAAAAAGTTGGACCTTAAACATGTCAACTTTGAAACAATAGGCAAAAGAAGCTGCCCTTGTGAAAGGTAACTAGGTGAGAAGCAGCAGCCTCATGCACTGAGCTGAACACACACAGAGAGGAATATCACGTGATCCAAAGGAATAAATTCATCACTCTGGCCATTGTGACAACCACTACAACATTTCTTGTTTTGTTTTAGTAGAGGTTTTACGGCGCTCGCAACTGCATAAGCTACAATATTTCTCCCTTGCCAAATACTTCAGTTTTCTCAAAATGCACCTGGTAGTTTAATGTATGTATCCCAGAGCCTGAGCAATACCAATACACCAATAGGCTGTAAAAACAAGTACTTCATTTAGTTGATTGTTCTCTATAAGAATTCTTGCAAAAGCCAAGAGTCTCTAATATCGAAAAGACTCAACTTCTCTGGACTGGTAATGTCATAAGAATGCCTGACCACAGAATCACAAAGGCAGCATTCTGTTCTGATCTGCCTTCAGGGAAGTGTTAAGTTAAGACATTTTTTTAAAAAGTGCTGTAAAGGCACCCTGAAAATGTCTCTGAAGGACTTCAGCATTAAGCCTTTGACATGGGAGAGCCAAGTTCCCGAAAGACTCAGTTAAAGAGCAACAAATCACATGAGGCTTCAAGAATAAGAAATGCTGAGGCCAAAAGAGAAGCTGGCAAACTGTGCATACCCACAAGTGGAAATTTAACTTTTAAATGCTCAAAATGAGGCAAACTCTTCTCCACCAGAATTTGTCTCATTGGCCGTAGCTTAAAGGGGCTCACAAGTCAGGTCTACGGCCTCGGGGACCGATTTTCACTCACTCTTGAGCGCTTTTTACTTTTGGTATTTTTGCAATCCCTCATTCAGTCTAGATTTTATTGACACTAGTCGCTGAGTGAGTAACATAAACAGAATTCAATTTCACTGGGTTTTATGTTGTGTACTAGCATTTTCTATGCTTAACCTTGTTTTTCTCAAAACACATTTTTTCACCACTTTTTGCTGGCATGTGCCGGGGGTTTTTTTCTCCACCATTTTTTTAAATTTCCCAACACAGAGACTTGAAATTTGGCATGTAGAGGGGAAAATAGTTTGTACTCATAGTGGGTTGGTTGATATTGTACATTTTGCTTTAGAATTGTTTTTACAATGTTTTTTCCATGCCAAAAATATTTTTTAAAGATCAAATTCAATATCCCAACTTTGAGAACAATTCTGGATACTTTCTAAGTATAGTATCAAAAATCAAAATAGCCAGCTGCAAACATCTACTGATTTGTGACCTTTTGCAAGTTACAGAATTTTAAAAAGTTAAAAACTATAGAAATGATGGAGAAAAAAAATGCAATCCAATTTTCAAGATGGCCACCGTTTCCATGGCAACGGCTTACGTAATCGAGTGTGCCAGCAGTTGAACATGAATCTTTTGTCTCATACTTACTGCCTGTGACAAAAGTTGTTTCAGTTTGTCTTTAGTAAAAATGTTGTCCCTTAAGCCACAAGTTATCTTTATTTTTTCTATTTTGATCAAGAATTATTCTCCTCTGCAGATGCATTGGAAATTATATATTGACAAATGAACTATCATTATTATAATTTATTACTATTACTATTATTATTAATATTATTATTATTATCATTATTATAGGAATTCAGGGGCATGAATGTAAGTGCATTAATAAAGATGAATTTAATGTGAGGATTCAACATGAAAAGAGGATTATGAGTGGAGTGGATGGAATGGGGTTTGAGAGAGCAAGCCTCGATAGTTGACAATGGGCACATTGGGATTACAAGAACTTCAATGAAGACTTATCCTTACGGAAAGTTTGCATGTACATCAACTGTGAACATTTGTACACATATCAACAGTGAACATAAATAAACTGGTTTGCATGGACTTGTGCTTTACTGGCCTCCCAAATTGTTCAACAAGTACAGGAGATGTTTACTACAAAATTGTTAGGTTCAACAAATTTCATCTATCATTCCTGGAGAAAAAAAAAAGACATCAGGAAAGTGACAATCTCATACACACATTTCAAGTAATTTGAAACATTTTCAATATCACATATAGTTGTACAAAGCCCTTTTACTCAACTCTGATTCTTACAGAGAGTGCTGGAAAATTCTGAAGGTAAAATAATGGAAAGTCTGAAATAAGAAGATCCTATCTTCTCAGATCATTCTTTCTTCCAAGCAGACACGACATACAACAATCAATGTTTCTTCCAAATAAACAGTACACATACACAAGCAAGTCACCATTAAGATGACTCAATGTATTACTTTTCAAGATTCATGAAAGAACTCTCTCACCACAGACAAAAAATACCTCTGATCCATCAAGAGGAAAAATGCATTTTTATTCTAAAAACAAATGTTAGCAGATCAGCAGTGCTGCATAAATCTATAACTGACCAAAAATTATAAAGATGTAGATACACATTGCATTTGAAAAAATGGTCCATAAACTGCGAAAATGGAAATGTACATAAGGGTGGATTTATCCTCCTGGGAGTGTTTTTTAAATTCAAATTCCTGGCTCATACATGCAGATGGACAGACAAAAATCAGCGTCCAACATAGCAACCAAGATGATGTTTTTGTTGCTTGCAACCTTTTTGCTATTTCTGCTAGGTGAAAATATATATGTGACCTCAATGGAGCAGTATCCTATTAGCTAAACAATATAAACAATCAAAGTTGTAAAAAGTGAATGCTCGCCAGTCTATGGGGGACACTTTAACTACTGCAAATGAAATTTAGCAATTGATTGGCTGGCTGTTCAATTGATCTTTTCAGAAAGTAATCATCAAAGTGCACACTGATATTAGCAGAAAAATAGACGTGAAGTGTTACCTCTCTGAAAATGGCGAACTGGTGAACCAATGTGTTAGTTTAAGTATATACTACATTCTCCATTACCTATAACATACATATATTTATATTATTGTACATATATCTGGGAATTGACTAGAAAGAAAAGAAACAATACAAATGCATTGATCAGTGGTCTGAGTGTCTTCAGTAAGGAATTCTACCAACTCATTTCACATAGAGGAGTATACCACAATAGGCCTACAGACTAGTAGCATTTTATCCTATTGAGATCCATTTGTAATATCTGAGGGTTATCACCAGGATGTTTACCGCTCACACACAGATCAACAGAGACCTATCGCTTGCATTCAAAATCTGTAAAGCACAGCTTCAAAACTTCCATCCTCTCAAGCTCTTTACTAACATTTACAACTACTCCCTTGGTGTTGATTCACATGATCAATTTTGTGCATAACACCAAGACCAATGTAATAGGCATGAAAGCAAAAAGAAAATTGGGAAAAATTATGAAATGTTCAGCATTGCAACATAGAGAATGACAAAAGATTGAATTGAAATCAAAGAAGACATATCTATGTGAAAGAGACTACATGGTTTTTGTAGTTGTACTCATACAGAGGCACCAACTGGCTAGAAAAAAAAATACTAAAATGTTCAGACACTGTATGAAAACATGCACATGGGGACTCAAAAATTGTGGATCATATTGCCTGATACAACTTGAGTCGCTCAACACTATTCTAAAATAAAATGCAATATCTAAACAATTTCAGAAATCTAAACTTCCAAATTTATCCACGGAATTGGCACCTCTGTATAAGACGAGAAGAATAAGTTCCTCTCTTAACTAGCCACAAACAAGCATGAGCAAACATTGGCTTGTCTCAAAGAACTTTTAGTGTCTTAAAGAACAAAATCACAACACCAAGTCAATATAAAGATGTTCACATAGTGCTCGCCGAAAGGGGGAACAGATCAAATTTTAAGGAAAAAAAGTTACAGCTGTGGTCTTCTAACTTTTCCAAAAATTACACATTCCCTCACATTTATTATAGAGCTCTACAGGCAACAAAAAATCTGCACAAAGAAAACTGAAGGAAGATTAAAATCTTTGGTCACTGGACAGATCCATATAAAGCAAGACCAAGGAGCAAAGAGGTCCTGAGTTTCAAACATGATCGTCAAAGGGATTTCATGGGAATGGAACATACAAAAAAGCTACAGGGGAGTAGTTCTTGTCTCTGAATTGAACATATACATACAGAAGCTGGGGTAAAGAAAGTTAAAGGGAAAAACAAAACAATCAGAAGTAGTTAAATGTCTATAAAAGTAATATCTAACTGATAAACATATCAATGTCTGAAAGAAAAAAAGCATGATCTAAACACAAGCAGTTGAAAAGAGGCCAAAATTTTTTCCTGAGTCCCAAATGGCTATCAACAGTAACCTTTTGCAGGGTAAACCAGAATGGTGGTGTGGTGTTCTCCAAGTAGGAGTGCGGTGTGTTATGTGTAGGAGTGCGGTGTGTTATGTGTAGGAGTGTGGTGTGCTCCGAGTTGGAGTTGGAGTGTGGTTAGCTCCACGCAGGAGTGTGGTGTGTTCTGAGCAGGAGAGTGGTGTGTTCCGAGCAGACCTATGAGCATGGTGTGATCTGAGCAGGAGTGTGATGTGCTCTGTGTAGGAGATGGTGTGTTCTTAGTAGGAATGTGGTTCCCCTAATAAAAGGTATAAGTATTGAAATCTGCAAGTTATCACATCCGACAGCATCATACACATGACCGCAGGGTCAGTAAGTAAATTTTGACTAATGTCGTTTGTCAACGTTTTTTACACTACTTCAATACAAATTAGATCACTTCATGAAAACGATGCCTCAATCCAGTTCAGGTCCAACCAGAACTAACTGGGGTACTACATCCTAGGAGAAAGATGGAGATATTTCACAAAATATTGTCCCCACAAGGGAACCAAACTTGCATCTTTCATTTGCAAGGTGGAGGTACAATAATTATCAGAATAAAGCTAAACTAATGAAATGACAAAACCAAAGTTTTCTGAAAAAATAAAAAATTATGGCATGATTCATGAAAACAAATTTCAACCAAAAAAAAACTTTGTTTAACATAAACAGTTTCGATTAACACAAACTGCGCACATAAACTTGTGGAAAATTTTGCGAAAAAGTGAAGACGGCTTAACTAGGGAGCGGGATAAAGAGTGCCCACCTCATAACTTGAAAGAGCAGAGGAATGTAGGACTAATATGATTAGAACAGTCAATTACTGGACAATTATAGTAGCTTCATCCAGACGGTCCATCATTATACTCGGATGAATCATTTACTAATAACAGTAATAAGAATGCAGAAATATTTCAATTGGGGGGAGGGGGAGAAGATAAAAGATAACCAAGAAAGGACTTTGGGTGGCAAGCAGCCTTTTTCCTGTTTGTTTTCACCGACATTTGAATTTAGAATTTAAAATGCTGCAAATTTTGTAGGAACGTCTAAATACAAAGTGCCAATTGGTAGGAATGAGCAGGGTTAAAAAAAACTAATTAATAAACCCCTGGGCATATATGTAAGAAAAAGTATATATTTACTATACGATCATAACACACACATTAACAGTAGTGAGGCTCTCATGATCAGAACAGATCATAGATGGTCACTCAAGTTAGGCAGTACATAGCCTCATATAAATATACCACCCAACACAGTCATAACATGCATTCATAGCTGGTTCAAAGTGTATTTTTTAAAATGTACTGGCATATCCAGTTTAATAAAGGACACACTAACCGCACTTCATTCAGATTCATAAAAAATATCTACTAGCCTTCCAACAACATACACAGATTAAAAAGTAAAGGTTATACAGAAAACCAACTAGTGCATTTGGTCAGGTGAGCGTGGTCATCTCCATAGGTAAGGGGTCATGGGTCAGGGAGCAAACAAGAAGAGGGAGCCAAGAGGCAGCCTGAGGAGGAACAATATTGCTTGTGTGAGACTCCGAGTCCTTGACCATCAACTTTCTGGTCATCTTGGGGGGACTGTAAGAGATCTGGAATTTAAAAAAAAAATTCTATTTCAGACCAAGATAATATAAAATATCACTAAAACTGTTACATGTTGGAACAACAGAGAAAAACATCAGCATGAGAGTGGACTGACAGACTGACAGACAGACTGACAGACAGAGAAGTGGGACTTAGCCCGTGGTGCACTCTCACCAATCATAGAAAGTTTAAAGATTAAGGACTGTAAACAACGCCATCAATGCCAATCTTCTCTCCTTGTATGCTTAATCAGTTACTTCAAAAGTAAGAGAAAGTCGAGGAGCATATTTTGTCTCAGCAAACTTACAAAACGTTTGAGTACAAAGAAGCACTTCACAGACAGTCTCCAAACTGTTCTGTTTCAGACAGTCTCCAAACTGTTCTGTTTCAGACAGTCTCCAAACTGTTCTGTTTCAGACAGTCTCCAAACTGTTCTGTTTCAGACAGTCTCCAAACTGTTCTGTTTCAGACAGTCTCCAAACTGTTCTGTTTCAGACAGTCTCCAAACTGTTCTGTTTCAGACAGTCTCCAAACTGTTCTGTTTCAGACAGTCTCCAAACTGTTCTGTTTCAGACAGTCTCTAAACTGTTCTGTTTCAGACAGTCTCTAAACTGTTCTGTTTCAGACAGTCTCCAAACTGTTCTGTTTCAGACAGTCTCTAAACTGTGCAGTTTTAGTTAATAAAAGCATATCAAACAGTCTCCCAGTTGTTCAGTTTTAGTCAATAAAAGCATATTGAACATCCAACTGTTCGTTTTCATTAAAGAAAAACACATCACACAATCTCCAGAACATTTCCTCACAAGTCTGACAAGTAGGCTAACCAATCATTGTAAACGTTGTTTTTTTTAAACAGTGAACCAATTATTTAGACATGAAGGATGAGGTTTAGTTCAACCCTGTTTGGGTTGAATTGGGTTGAGCTGGATATTTACAAAAACAGATACACCTGAAAAAAATATCTCCAACGAGACAGAATCAAATTGACAGCTTTGATGTCTTTTGGCATGAAGTATGCTAGGATTAAAACCACACTTTGCGCACGCACACACACACACACACACACACACACACACACACACACACACACACACACACACACACAGAGAGAGAGAGAGAGAGAGAGAGAGAGAGGGGGGGGGCCAGGAGGAGAAGAAGGAAAGACGAAGATGGGATAAGAGACAGAAAGAGCAAGACAGGGGAAACGAGGGGGACAAAGATGAAAAGAGAGAGGAAAAGGAAAGGACAGAGAGTGTGTATGAGAGAGAGAGAGAGAGAGAGAGAGAGAGAGAGAGAGAGAGAGACAGACAGACAGACAGACAGACAGACAGACAGACAGACAGAGAAAGAAAGAGAAAGAAGGTAAGAGAGAGACAGCAAGATGTCATGAGGGCAAACAGATGAAAAGGGGAACAATCTTGTATTAACAACATTTATCCTCTTCACTACTCTTTCCGAGAAGAAAAAAGAATCAGGTGCTGGAGGCTGAGAGCGATAAATAAAGGCTCCTTCTCAAATGCACCTCCTCCTTGTTTTTTAACTTTTTTTCTAAAAGTACAGGACCAGATAAAGTACATCTTGTATAATCTTGACCTTTTTTCTCAAGACATAATGTTGAGAATGACCCTGAAAAACAGACGAGAAGTCATCTGTTCTACATAACGTAGTGAACAACTATTGACCGCTCAAAAGATTCTTCCTAAAGGCTCCGATCATATTATAAGGAGCCTTATGTACAAGAGTAAGTCAGGGATGGAGCAGAAAGCCAAGTACATCACAGCTCTGCGGGGACACATATATACCTCACTTGGCCAGGGAGGAAGGAATTTTCAGGGCTTGTGACAAAACATGTTATATCTTAAATGTGAAAAGTATTTTCAAATCATTGTTTTCAGTGTTAAATGACAAAATATTCTAGACCACTAAAAACCACCTTGAGCTCAAAATCTAAATGGCAAAACGCTGGATTTCAAATATTGGAGATAACCCATTTTGTCACAAAGCCTTTCATTTGCCCTAACGTTTTCCTAAGCAACATAATATGAACAGAATATATTAACAAAAGAAGAACAATGATGCAGTGATGGAGCTGGGAAAAACCAAGACAGAAACAACAGGAGGTCAGTGAGAAGTTCAGCCTACAAGTTGCTTTCTCATAAGACCCACCGTTAGTAATTTCAACAATTAATTAGTTTCAGCTTAGTTTAAGGATCAACACCATTTTTAACATGACTCGACGGCAACACTTAGTACAAAAGGAAAACATGAAGATAAACATGCAAGAGAAAATGGGGTGGTTGGGGGGGGGGGGTGGAGGGGGGGGGGGCTGTTTTGAGCTAGCATGTCAAAACCAGCTGGACTATGTGGGCTACTGCTTTTTTCAAAAAAAAAAGGCCCCTCCCCCCCCCCCCCCCCCCCAGGCCCCACAAAATTAAGACCAGTTATGGTTGCAGAGATACGCGCTCTTTGATTTTCATGTTTTTCTTTAAATCAATTACTCCAGATATATTTTATGACTGATTTGAGTCTATGAGTGCAAGGGGCAGAGACATCTTGATGTTCGAGTGTCAAGAGTGTGAACCCTGATGGTTGCTGACACATTGATCTCCCACAAATATGACATTCTTTTTGTTTTTGCTCACTGAGCTGTGCTAGCAAGGAGCTAACTAAGCAGCGAACAAATGTGCACTCAAGACATACCACCCAACGGAGTCACTTGGAATTTGAGAAAAAGAGAAGCACATCCAAAAAAGTTTTAAAAAAACCAAAAACCAAGCTAAAACATAAAAAGACTATACACAGAAAAAAATAGTTGAAACAGTAACAGGTTATATACCAGTCGTGTTTTTATTCCAAGAGCACATGTGTTGAGAACAAAACAACTAAATGCACTACAACTCATGCAGGTTATTTACACAATATCTAGCAAACAGTCCCTCGTCCAAATGTCATTCAGCCAACCAAGTTCCCAATACTGAGTGTGAAGCAACCTAAGGCTCAGAAGTCATGTTTTATAAACCATGGCTGCTTTACACTCTACCTCATCTGCATGCCTGCCAACCCAATGTGGTAACAACACGAAAGCTTAGTCTCAATCTTAAAGATTTAATACCAAAACAAAATCCAAAATCAAGGTTAACCCTCGTCATGCGGAAGCCAGGTTTATGTAGCCCGATAAGCCTATTTCGGCACCTTGCCTACGTTCTGGTCCCGAATCAGTGTAGCCCCTGGCTCCGCGCACGCGCATCATCTTACGTGTCATTCGGGTCCCGAATCGAATCCCCATTCACGCAGGTCAAGTGTGTGTGCGTCAGTCTGCTTGAGTTTGTGTGTGTTTGTGGCCTTCTTCTAGAACTGCCTGCGTTGGTTCGTAATTGAGGTATACGTTTCATTCAAAACATGCCAAGTTGGTAGCTCTAGATGTTCGTCCAATGAAATTATAGAAGAAATTGACCCACTTAGCCATGAGGAGCTCGAAAGGATAGTCAGGAAACAAGACTTCCTTTTTTCTATACAAAATGTTTCAAATGAGCTTGATTTTGTATGAAATGATACTACCTGATAAAAAATAAGCTTGATAGTTATGAATACCATTATGCAGGTACAAAGAACAGTTTGAGTGTAAAACTTTCGGAAATTATCCCCTTTCGAACCTCAGGTCATTCTTAACAACAAGAACGTCCAGAAAGGTTATTCGAATGGGCGTAACTACTCGTAATGTCTTATCAGCTTGTGAGAGGGGATTATTCATGTGTTTGTAATACTATATAAATAGAAAGCTATGAAGGATAGAGCGTTATTTTCATCATCGCTTAACACACTCCCACGGTATTCATGGCGAAAAGACACGTTTTCCGGCGCTCGCGCTGTACACCAACAGTACACACTGAGTGACCCCGGCGGCCTGCCTGGCACGTCCGACGTAATCGGTTGCTGATAAGATTCGCATCTCGGCACAGACGCAGGACAAGAGTTAATATCAGAGAAAGTCAAGTTATGTCCAATATTACCTTCAATCCAAAATCAAAACTTTTTTTTGAAATTCAGTTTCAAGGCACTACTTTCCAAAGTATTTTATTTAAATGTAGAAAATTTTAGGCAGTCTTTATTGTGCCCCCCATCAACACGATTTAAATCACTTAGGAGGCCAGCTGAGAGAACCAAACCACACTGAGAGGGACATAATATCCCAACAGAAAGACCGTGATGCTTCATTAAAATTTTCCCCACTCGGGATTTGAACTCTGGTTGCTAGCCTATGACATCGAAGTGCTAAGCCGCTACATCACAGATGCAGTTAAGCATTTAATGCCTTACAGATTTGAAACTTGAAATGGAAAAATACATGCCATAGGAAACAGAAAAATGTAAATTCACACAAGCATTTGAAGTCAAATGGAAACATTAAGAATCCTTAACGCACTCAGAGACCACAATAGAAAGGAAAACAGATGGGTAGAGTGAGGAGAAAAGAATTCACAGCAAAAACTGCAATTGCCATCACTTCTCTCTAGACGGCAACTGTATGATTTATCTCACACTTTAAACTTTAAAAAATAATCTTTTGGCTTTCTCATACCTTTGACCTTCATAAAGCAACCATCTCCCTAAGGCAACTACTACCACTTTCCATCAAGCTCAGACCATGACAAAAAAAATATAATGGCCTGCATAAGGCAACCACTAATCTTTTATTGAGCTCAATATTTTTATACCTACAGCTGGCCACAATTCTGCTCTCAATAATGATGCATCTGACATCATCTTTGTTGGCTTTCTCTGCTGCATTCATCTTTTATGTGGACTTAAATATTCGGAGGGCATTTTGGTATTTCAAAGAATCCTAAGACACAATACACTTCTGTAAGATAAAACTTGTGTAAGATGGCTACAATTCAAAGCTAAAAAAAGATGGAGACCTTATTCATGTGTTATCAAAGGAAGAAAAGAGTATTTAGTTAGGAAGGCTGCAATGAATTTAAAAACTTTTCAACTCGTTAACATC